GTGTGTGAGTGAGTGTGTGAGTGAGTGTGTGTGTGTGTGTGTGTGTGTGTGTGTGAGCGAGCGAGCGAGCGAGTGTGTGTGTGTGTGTGAGATTAGTGGAAAGCCCTGATGTCTATATAGTGGAGCGGCTCTTCTCCAGCAGTCTGATGGTGGTTGTGAGCAGATTGACACCCTTCAGAAGGAACATCTACTATTTCAAGAAAGGCACGGAGATCTGTAACTACAGCTACTCCGACAACATCCTCGCTGTCAAACTCAACCGACAGGCACACATTTACTACCATTCAGATTATACAATTTTTGTAATGCTCATTAAATTGATCAAAAGTGACGGTAAAGACATTTATAATGTTACAAAAGATTTCTATTCCAAGTAAATGCTGTTGTGTTGAACTTTCTATTCATCAAAGAATCCTCAAAATTAAAATGTATCACAGTTTCCACAAAAATATTGTGCAGCACAACTGTTTTCAGCATTGATAATAATCAGAAATGTTTCTTGAGCAGCAAATCAGCATATTAGAATGATTTCTGAAGATCATGTGACACTGAAGACTGGAGCAATGATGCTGAAAATTCAGCTGCGCATCACAGAAATAAATTACAGTTTAACAGATATTCACATAGAAAACAGCTATTTGAAATTGTTATAATATTTCACAATTTTGACTTTTTTAGTTTTAGTTTTGTCCAAATAAATGCAGTCCTGGTCAGCAAAAGAGTCTTCTTTTAAAATCACTAAATGTTTAGTTTTGAGGCTTATTCCAACGTTTTGTATTCCCTCTCTTCAGATGCTTGTAGTTTGTCTGGCGGAGGCTCTGTACATCCACAACATCAAGGACATAAAACTTCTCAAGTCTCTTCTCAACACACCACCAAACCCCAAAGGTAAACGCTGTAACGGCTCTTTAATATATAGTTGCGTTATTGGTGTAATTTACAGATGACTCTGTAAATGTTAGAGTCATCACTGTTTTTATTGCTTCAGTTGATGAAAATGTGGCTATATCTGGGCCAGAATGATCTGTAAATCCTCTCCTTTCTGCTAGGTCTCTGTGCACTTTCTGTCAATCGTTCCAGCTCATATCTGGCACATCCAGGGAGCTTCACTACTGGAGAAATTACTCTGTATGATGCTTTGAATCTGGTAAGAACCCCACTGAAACTTGCTTTAATGGAAAGCGAAGCTTATTGCAACTTTAAGCTCTCCACTTTCATCATGGTGACCGGGATCTCGGCTCATGCCAGTCATGTGGCTGCCATCGCATTCAATGCTTCAGGAACCAATCTGGCCAGTGCTTCTGAAAAAGTGGGTCTGAGAAGGTTGTGTTCTGATATCTTCTCCATGACAGTTTAGTGGAGCAGCTTCATTTTTTGCACTGTGATCTGATTTGATATTGTGATTCCCAGGGCTCTGTTATGCGGGTTTTCAGCACACCTGACGGAGTCAAGCTGGAAGGATGAAGAGGTGAGCGAGCTGACACACAGTCAGATAATGAAACACAGCTGTTATGAAACAATAGAAGTGTTACGGGGCTGACAAGACTTGAGACGTGCGGATCCATGTGCAAGCTATTTATTAGCAGAAGACAGAGACGTGGTCATAGAACAGGCATGGGTCAGATAATGGCAGACAGGTATATGGCGGGCAAGACACACGAAGAAACCTAAGGCTAGCGGAGGTCAACGATCGGCAAACAGAATCAAAGGGGCGAGACTCGAGGGATAAGTCCAGGTACAAGGCAAGGTCCAGGCAGGGGCAACCAGTATCAAAATAGGGCAAGACGAGAGGAGGAATCCGAGAGACACAGGCGAAGATCAAGATACGAGAACACAGACAAGTCTGATGGCTAGCAGACGGAAGTTCATGGACCGGATATGTGACAAGAAGGGTGTTTGTTCAGCTACAGGCACTTTTACTGTACATACCAATGGTTGATTTGTATTAAAATTAACATATTTTATTAACACACTTCCTTTTTCTCATATTAAGTCTTGGAAATGTTTCATAATTAATTTTTTCTAATTTTCAAAAAATTGCATTGCATTGCAAAATGTGCATATATACTGTATATATATATATATATGTGTGTGTGTGTGTGTGTGTAGTTTTAATTTAAAACAAAATTTATTAACATGTAATTTTATTGATTTATTTTACTTCATTTATTTAGAATTCAGTCTTAAATTTTAAAAGTGGCATTTCTTGTCAAGCTGTAATTTTGACAAATTTTCCCACTATGAAATTAGCCTAAGACAAAGGAGTTATATATTATTAATTTATTTATTTATAAATGTATTTATTTATTTGTTTATTTATTTAATCATTCATTCAAATGATGTACAGTTTTTTGCCCAATTTGATACACAATAAAAAATTTCTCTTTTTTGTCCAATTTTATGCACGATAAAAATAAAAATCACAGTTCAATTACCGGTTTTTCCCCAGTTTGATTCACAGAAAAACCATAAATTATATAATTTATATAATTTGACAGTATTGTCCAATTTGATTCATAATAAGCCATAAAAATGTATAAATGAGGCTATTAGATTTTTCTAAAGGTCACTCAAAACCCTTTGATTGAAGCTTTTGAAATTTGAAGCACTGATGGTCAAATCTCTAGATAAATTTGCATTTCATTCATCCATCAGACTGTTTGACAGTGAAGATGAAACAGAACTGGAGGCTGGCAGTCGCAGCAACTGTTGCCACAAGCACAAATCCAGACTCTCCGTCTTCTAGTTCCCTCACAGGTACATCGCAAGCCCCATAAGACCTTGCCAGGTCTTCCAGCCAGTTCTATCAAACCTTTATAATTAATCCAGAACACGGCGGCAAGATTAATCTTTAATGAGCCGGAAAGAATGCATGTCACACCTCTGTTCATCAATTTGCACTGGCTACCAGTAGCTGCTCGAATAAAATTCAAGGCATTAATGTTTGCCTACAAAACCACCACTGGCTCTGCACCCATTTACCTAAATTCATTACTTCAGAGTTATGTGCCTCTAGAAACTTGCGTTCTGCAAGTGAACAGTGCTTTATTGAACGGTGCAAAGAGTCACAAAATCACTTTCACAGACTTTTACATTAACTGTTCCCTCCTGGTGGAACTCGATCCAAGCAGCTGGTAAATGACGGTGTTTCCTTCAGGTTTCTCTGAGGATGTTGGTGTGAAGAGAGGGGAGCTGATCCCAGAACATGAGTTTGCGGATGGACCCATCTGTCTGGATGATGAACAGGAGTTTCCTCCGGTTAGCTTTCAGAACAGATGAAAACTCGATCTCCACAAACACATTTAATTTCAGTCAGGCTTCGCGGCCATCGGATGGCATCTCTGAAGGATGCCGATCGCTGTATGAACAGCAGTTTGGGTGTAAATATCACAGTTGTTGATCAAATCATGCAAATAACAGGCTGGATGTAGATTCAGGGATTCAGGATTACCAGCTCAGACGAAACTTTTACAAATACATTCCCATTATGAAGTGTGTTCACTAGAGTAACTCATAGATGTGCGTTTAATTCATTCTAACTACAACTGTGAACTCATATTTTGCCACAGATGTCTGTAAATGCTGGCTAACATAACTATAATATTATGAAGAGCAATGCTTTTCAGTGAAACGGGTGAAACTGATTTTTATGAATGCCAGAAGGCGTATGATTGCCTGCAGGAGGCTGAAAGTCATAACAGTCAGATTTTGACATTTGTGTAAACAAGCAGTTTATATACAGTAGAGTACAGTGAGTGGCAAACCGCTACAATAAAAGTTGTATCAAAACCTTCAATACATTTTAATGTTGACCAGATTAAATATATTCGTTTTTAGGATTTAGAGTTTAAATGTGCATATCTAGGAAAGCCCAAAAAAAAAAAGTATTTCAAATGATTTCACATTTCAGGGGCATAGAAAGCCAATGACACGCATTAATGTGTTTTTACAGTCTCCAGTCCGTTTAGTCAATATCACAGTGTTGTTGATTTGAATGTGGAACCGTAACATAATAAAATAAAGTTGGCAAAATGAAAACTAACTGTTTGCATGTTTGTGTTGGGCATGATGTGCTACAAATTTAGAAGTGCAACACTTAAACACAAGGATACAAGATATTGTCATCTGAATTATTTATCAGATGGCATAAAATAATTCAAGCAAGAACTCAGTTACACTGCTCAGATTAATATAACACACACACACAGTATATATATAGGCTATATATATATATATAATGTATAGCTTTTTTTAAACAAAGTATGGAAGTCATAATATACTTTAAAAGAGTATACTTACATGTGAACTGAATATAAGACACCTAATTGCATGGTATTTACAATTAAATTAAAATATTATACTTTAAATTCGTAATGAATGCAATTATCTGAATTTATAATTTCATAATTTCTTCTGTTGTCTTTGAAATATGGTTAAAGTGTTGCTGCTGAATGTAGCCTACTGACAAGCATCATAAACTAAATTTGATATGTCATTTCTATTGAAACCCCTATTCTATTGACATTTATAATTACACATTCGCAATAATGAAGTTGCAGTTTAGTATATTAACTTTAAATGTAGGCTAATAAAAAATAACGCTGGACTTTAAAATGTTCGAAATAACTTTTTAAAAATGTATAGTATATACTTTTACTTTTATAGTATATACTATACGTTTTAAAGTATAGTAGGCCTACTGCACACTTTTAAGTACACTTAAGTGACCTTTTATTAATAATGTATTATCTGC